ATCGTATGTTACGAGATATTATGCATTTCAAAGATCCTAATTCTAATTAAAAGATTTTTTGGGGGAAAACTATGATATTAAAAGGTGATTTTAGTCAAATATTGCCAATGGTTTCTCAAGGTAGTAGAAGTGACATTATAGTTACTATAATTTCTAGATCTAAAATTTGGGAACATTGTCAAATATTTACTCTCTCAATTAATATGAGATTGAGAAATTAATCATGTAACTCGATATTAGACTTTAGCCAATGGTTATTATACTTGGATGATGGTAGGTTGCCTTTAGTTAGACCAAGTGAAAGTGCAAATTCAACATGGATTAATATTCCAGATGAGTTTTTAATTCCACATGGGAATGATTCAATAAAGCAAATTGTTAATTATACATATCCTAATTTGAAAAATACATTCAATAATCCATCTTATTTAAAGGATTGAGCTATATTAGCATTGACTAATGAAGTAGTTAATCAAGTCAATACTTACATACTTTCAAAGATTTTTGGTAAAGTAAAAAAATATCTCAGTGCTGATAGGATTTCACCTACCTCAGCTAATGTTGCAGAACAATTTATTTTATATCCTTTTAAAATTATTGAATTCACTTAAGTTTCCTATGGTACCTAATCATGAAATTGATTTGAAAGTTGGGGTTCCTATTATTCTTTTGTGCAACATAAATCAAAATGTTGGTCTTTCCAATGGTATTAGATTGGTTATCACAAAATTGGGTTCTAAGATAATTGAAGCTGAGATAATAATTGGGACTAATGTGAGGAGTCGGTTGTTCATCCTTAGAGTGGAAATGTCCCCTTCAGAGTTAAAATGGCCGTTCACTCTAACACGAAGACAGTTCCTAATCAAAGTTTATTTTGCAATGACAATAAACGAGAGTCAAGGACAAACATTTGAAAATGTCGATGTGTATTTGCCAAAATTGGGTTTCACTCATGGCCAATTATATGTAGCTATTTCCAAAGTAACATCACAAGAGGGATTAAAATTTTTAATTGAAAACAATGATCATGATATTCATTCATGCACGAATAATGTTGTATACACTAAGGTGTTTTATGATGTTTTCCAAAGGTGACGAGCTTGATTTAATATTTAATTGTTTAATGTTTATATATATTTAAAAATTTTATGCATTTTTATTCTAATTATATTTAACATTTAAATAATTCAAAAATTCCATTATCTTCTTATAGGGCATAATGCAAGGTTACTAATACTTATGATAGATTTCAACAATTAGAGACCAATGGAAGGTTAAAGTAAGAATCACTAGAATGTGGGATGTTGTTAATGTTAATAAGAATGGAAAAGTTATAGGTTTGGGAACGATTCTATTGGATGAAAATGTGAGAGCTTTATTTACCTTAATTTGTACACAATAGATTATTCATTTTATATATCTCTAATAAACTTATTCAATAAACATTTTTTTATAGGATGATCATATTCATGCAATGGCATTCAAAAATTTGGCAGACAAGTATCGTACACTACTAATGGAAGGAAATGTTTACATGATTCAAAATTTCAAAAGTTTCCAATGTGTCTAGCTCCTATCGAATTGTGAAAAACAATTTGATGGTCTACTTCAAACCTAATACATTTTGTCAAAATTGTTAATGGTTGAATAGTTCACTTAAAGTTTGCCATAAATTTGGAGTTCTGAAAGTTTGAATGCTATTCAATCGCAATTACATGATAAAACATCATTTGACAGGATCATTGACTTCAACTTTATATAATTCTTTTTAATTTTGCATTTTATATTAATTTGACTAATTATACTTTGAAACTATTTGATCCTTAAATATGTTAACTGGAAAATTGAGCACAAATAAGTTCAAATCATGAAATCAAGATGTTTGTAGTGAAAAAAGTAAACAAAAAGAGTATCAAAAAATAAAAACTCGCACTGTAATGCATTGAGAAATTCTTAAATTAGAATAAATGCATATGTGAAATTAATTATTAACTAACCTATTTTGATTTTTTCTCAATAGCTGGAACACTCAATGGAAATTACTCTTGGGGTGGGAGTTGCATATTAACTTGATGATAGTATTTTGGCAAGCAATAATGAAACTATCATATTGGTTGTGACATCTACCTTTGTCAAACAATTTAAAGGTAAGTAAAAAAAA